TGGGAAGAATATTATACGAAACTGCTGAAAGAGGATAGAGTAGAGTACAGATGGGAAAAGATAAGGGAATTAATAGACAACAGAGACGAAAGACAGGAAATCCCTATAATAACATTATCTGAATTGACGGAAACCTTAAAAGAGGTTAAAAACGGAAAAGCCGCAGGGCCTGGAGACATTCCCATAGAGCTGGTTAAATATGGGCCGACTGCACTTTTAGAATTAATAGTAGACCTTTTCAATAAATGTATGTGTGGAGACCAGGAAATTCCTAAAGATTGGAATAAATCTTATATAAGCTCCATATATAAGAGAGGGAATAAAAGAGACTGTTCCAATTATAGAGGTATTAGTGTGACGAGCTCTGTGGGCCGGTTGTACGGCAGAATATTAAAGAAGAGGGTTGAAAGACAGATACAAGATATTGAAGAACAAAGCGGCTTTCGTACCGGGAGATCCTGCCTTGATAATATATTTATCCTACGACAAATAATTGAAAAGCGTGTCGAAAGAAGTAGAGAGACCCATTTGGTATTTATAGACCTTGAGAAAGCATATGATAGTGTCCCGTTAAAGAAAATGTTTGAGGTCCTCAAAAGGTCCGGATTGGATTCGACGTATATCCGAGCGATATATAAATTGTACGAAAATGCAGTTAGTTGTGTAAAAATTGGAACCAGAACCTCAAATGAATTTAAAGTCACTAAAGGCCTAAAGCAAGGATGCTGTTTGTCACCGACACTCTTTAAAATATACGTCCAAGAAGCATTGAGGAATTGGAGAAATAAATGTAGATTTATGGGCATCGAAGTGGGACAAGAAACTCTGTATACATTGTTGTTTGCAGATGATCAGGTGGTGGTTGCAACCGATGAGGAAGATATAAATTATATGAATCGAAAATTATTTGAGGAATATGCCAAATGGGGGCTTACTGTAAACATAAGCAAAACAGAATATTTAAAAATTGGAGGAAATACCACAGATCTGAGGCTTGAAAACGCAGTCATAAAAGGCTGCAACCAGTATAAATATCTAGGAAGCATCATATCAGCAGATGGCAGAGTTAAGATAGATGTACAAAACCGAATAACCCAAGGGAAAAAATGCATCCGAATACTGAATTCATTACTGTGGTCTAATAAAATAAAGATGCATACCAAACTTCGCGTATACAGAGCAATTGTAGAACCAATTACCACATATGGTGCCGAATGTTGGACGATGACAAAGAATGAACGAGATAAAGTAGACGTTGTGGAAATGGATTATCTTAGAAGGTCATGTCGAGTATCGAGAATGGAAAGAATCAGGAATGAGGAAATACGAAACCGTACAGGAATTAGAGATACTCTTTCAGATAGAATACAAGGAAGGCAATTACAATGGTATGGTCACGTGATGAGAATGGAGGAGGAGCGGTGGCCAAAGAAAGCCTTAATGTATGTTCCGCCAGAAAGAAGGAAAAGGGGAAGACCACCAAATTCCTGGAGAAGAGAAATTACAAAAACAATGCAATCTAGAGGCTTAGAAGAGGGAGATTGGAGAGATAGGAAAAGATGGAGGCTGAAATGCGGGAAGCGGCAATCGCCGTAGGACCCCCGTTATATGATGATGCTATTTCCCTATATCAGAAGGGTAATGGTACTGAAGTTAGTGACATCTCATGCCAAACTGAATTTGATACAAGTTTATGCTCCTACGGCGAATGCCGACGAATAAGTAGAATTATTTTACCGAGATATCCAAGAGACACTAACGAAGACAAGAGAAATCACGATAGTCCTAGGTGATCTCAATGCAAAGATTGGAAAGGGACAAATCGGAAAGTGAGACCGTCTGTTACAATTCCGTCAAGAGCAGAACTTTATTATTACAAACACATTTTTCAAGTTACCAAACAGGCGACTGTATACATGGCGTTCGCCCGCAGATACATTGGAGAAAGTAGTCAGGAACCAGAGAGACTACATTATGATTAATAAAAGATACCGTAGTGCTAGTAAAGCCGTGAAAGCATATCCTGGATCAGACTTGGCCTAAGACCACAATCCACTTATCACCAAGATTACACTTATCCTTAAAAATATTAGAAGACATCAAAGAATTCCTACAATAGACACAAGACAATAAAGACAATACACTACAATAGACAATAAAGAAATGGAAATTTTAAATACAATTAAAACAAGAAAATTAAAATAAAATATCTCGACATATTACACGTGGAGAGAAATACACCTTGCTCCAACTGATTATGCAGGGAAAGAACCAAGGAACGAGAAGCATAGGGAGGCGTAGAATGTCATGGCTGCGCAACCTGTGAGAGTGGTACGGATGTACATCAAACGAACTTTTCAGGGCAGCCGTCTCAAAAGTCCGAATGGCTATGATGATTGCCGACCTGCGCCGCGGAGATGGCACTGGAAGAAGAAGAAGCGAGCATGTTGTATACCATTGTAGAATACATAGAATAGAGAAGAATAGTACAGTATAAAACGACAACTGTAGACAAAAAAAAAACAACAATTTCAGCAAACATAGTTACTAATTATAGTGATGTACAGTGAAATTAAGACATATGTAATGCCTTTTGTTTTCACAGTTGATAATTTTTAACGTTTTCAGATCTTATTCCACTTGTTCCATCTATCTAAGTTTAAATCTTCCTTCTCCTTACTGACGTGTGCCTTATTACTTTCTTTAGTAATTGTCGATTTATTCTTGTTAAAAAGTCAGACACTCATGATTGCTCGCAATTTATTATAAATATATTGAAAAAGTTAATTAAAAAAAAAATTGCCGATGATTACTGGTGGCGAAAATTAAAAAACAGAAAATGGCAAAACTGCAATTCTACCGAGATTTTGGAGTCAACTGTTAGTAACTCTCGATATTCGGACGCATTTCCAATTTTTGGTTCCACATTTTAGCCGCTCCCAACGACTCTAACAGAAGATCTAATGACATACCACTAGATAATTATGTTATATGCTACAAATATAACGTTTCTAATATTTTCAATCACAATTTAGGCTTTTATTTGTTTTTTACGACTCTTTCATCAATATAATTTATAGACAGGTAGGTAAGACACTTAATATGCATTTTGAATATAAAGTATAAATACAACTTGGAGTGAACGTGACCTGCATAGGCCAATGTGTACACCTAAAAGTGTAGCAACCTGCTAAGTACTTTCTACGAGAGATAATATGGAAAAGATAAGTATTCACCTAGTATAAATACAGTGGTGAGTGCTTTATCACCCGGCTTTTTAACGTAAGAGATAGAAAACACAGTTACCTTGTGAAATAAAAAGAGATGAAACTCGTAGAGGTGGGAAATAATCGATAGAAACCTATAATTTACATTACATTGCATTAACACTATCGATAGTCTCACACCTTTAGACGTTAGCTTCCAGCTAAATCACCTCGGTCATAATTATTATTTGTGACGTATGTGTAACGTATTTCAGTGACATTTTTTAATTTCGCATAAAGTAAAAAATGATTGACCACAATAAAGCAAAAATGTGAATAAAATAAATTAATTAATAGTGATTATTTAATCTAAAGTTTTAAATTATTAACCAAAAATAATTTCTATGATTTGAGGAGTTTCATACACTCTTGTCACGGAAATAAACATCAGTCCTTCGTGGATTAGTGGTAAGAATTCGACACTGCGACGCAGACGATTAGAGTTCAAAACCCATATGTGGTTTTCTTTTTTTTAATAATTTGAAATTATGCAGAGATCGTTTTGATTTGAATCACTAAACATTTATGTCAGTCGTTACTAGTATTAGAAGTGTTTAAAGTTACACATAAATATCTTTTTGAATTTGAATTATTTTGTATTTCCGTTTTATAACATTGGAATAAGAATAAATTGTAAATAATGAGTTTTTCGAAAACTTGTTACCTAATATGTATAATATTTTCTATTATTTTTTTATTGAGTAAAACAAAAATTTTATCCTTGGTGGGAATTGAACCCCAATCTTCTTGTCAATAGACCACGTGTCTAATAATTACATCAACTCCACATACAATAAATGTTTTCGGACAGAACATACCTACCTTTAGTTTAGTCAAATATTTCAGTTGAGTTATTTTTATTATTAAATAAACTTAAAGATTTATAATTTAAAATCGCTACTAACTAATGTTTTTTTACTTTAATTCTTAATTTATTCAATCATTTATTCTTACATCAGAAATTATTAGAATAAAATATTTTCGCGGTCATCCGTATAATTATGACTGAAGTCAAATAGCCACGTCTAAGAACTAGCTTTATCTCATTCTTTCTCACAAAATCCATCTTCTATCCTTTCCGCTATTTTGCCGGGTTTTAAAGCGACTTTAAACACTTCTAATACTATAATAACGTCTAAAGGTGTGAGACTATCGACGGCGGTAATGTAATGTAATGTAAATTATAGGTTTCTATCGATTATTTCCCACCTTTATGAGTTTCATCTCTTTTTATTTCACAAGGTAACTGTGTTTTCTATCTCTTACGTTAAAAAGCCGGGTGATAAAGCACTCACCACTGTATATATTTTATTGGTGGTAGTATTATGTTATCCTGACTGTAGTGGAGATTAGAATTTATTTTGAATCAATCGCAAAAATGCTCGTAAATCAAAAGGAGGTTCCGGTTAATTTGTTAATCGACAGTGTTGTTTTGGAATAGAGCTAATGCGCAAATTAATTTCAGTTCGAGCAGAGAATCACTAACACAACAAATTAACAGCTCAAATATTCTTTTTGCAAAACATAACTGCAATCCAGTTCACCTTTTACTTATTAATGAGGTATTTTGATGGCCAATGATTTCCATCAAAGGTGGCCATGATCTTGAAGATCATTAAATTATTTTAGCAAATCGGTAACAGACTATTGTCAATATATCTCTGCTCCGGCCGTATGTTCGGACTGTAGACTTATTAGGTAAATAAAAAAAGATACAGGAACTTTTGTACTTACCGTCTGCAGTGCTTCTGACATTGAATGAAACGAATCGATAAGAGGACTGGACTCATGAGGCGGCGGTTCTTGTTTTATTAAAGGTGAGGATATTCTCATATCCTCTGGGCCTGAACTTGTATCCCTATCGACAGGCGATATGGGATTTAACTTTGGTACATTTGTGTTTAACCTTTGAGATGCCTGTAAATGGTATACAACAATTTAATTTATGTAGGTTTTACAATTTACTATACAATTAACTACTTTTATTCTTTCAAATATGAAAACAATGTTCAAAATAATATTTACTGAAATAATAGATGAGTAAATATTTTTAGAGACTCATTTTTAGTAAAGTTTTTTTTCTGTGAATTTTCCACACACATTCAATATCTACAACTGAACTAGTGATTTGACATGCTTTCGAGAAAAAATATCTACTCGTAGATATTATGGTCCTTCTCAGACTCTTGTTTAAATCATAACCACAGACAAATTAAACCTAGATTGGTAAAAAGGATAGCCAAGGTCAACGCCACGTTTTTATTTGGCACCCTTCCGTTTGGTGGCACTGCTAGTCTCGTTACTGCGCGTTGTTCGTTGTCCCTTTGTGTCATTAGAGCATCGAGCAAAAAGAAAAAGAGGGAATGTAAAGGTAGTGGGGGCAAAAATATTGTTAGACAGGAAGTGCAATCTTGAGAGGCCACATTAAACAAGGAAAGAGAGTCTTTCCTTGTGTAAGATATCAAATTTAGTTGGGTTATGTTATTGTTTGTCCAACTGTCACATAAAATCTTATTTCTATTGAAGTTTTTTAACAATTGTGTCACATTTTAGACTGTTATCGTTAATATTTATTTAACGTCTAAGACACATTCTGAAAACTATTTTATAGCTAATGTTAATAAGTGTCGAAAAATTTAAATTTGGTGCATTCGCATTTCCGGATATGACCGCCATCAGAGGCCACTTTTTTGGTCTCCTTTTCAAAACGATTAGATTCCCTCTTTTGTCTTTTTGCTCGATGCATTAGAGTCAGTCTTTCTTCCTTGAGAAGAATAAGACGCCATACTTTTATTTGTTTTATTTTTTCATAAATAGTACAAAAAGATACAATTTTAGACGATTTTTACTACTTCAACTTTGAATGCTCATAGGATTGCAAAAAAAAAATGGTAGATGGCTAATTCTTGTTCCATTCTCTTCCTAAAGCCGTAAATATTCATATTCCACTGGAAATTAAAAAGGAGAAATTAAATTATTGAAAGAGGAAGTTATTAATAAGAAAATACCAGTATTAGTAAGTCAGTAACATATAGAGGATACATCATTTATGTTTTTTAAATAACGTAACATATAAAATCAGAATTTTGATGTTTGTTGAAGGTAAACTAAATTCACGAACAAATACTTACAATGTCGGGATAGTATTATGAGGTTTTTTTTCCTGTTTTTTCCCTCATAATTTACTATGGAATCACTAACAGGAGAATTTTACTGTCATCGTGTCATGTGTTTGTATTTTTAAAGAGTAATTACATGCTATGATTTTTTTCTGACGGATATTCTCAAGTTAAAGTTGATTTCATGTAATCGAATGGACTATCTTATAAGTAAAGTCGTCCCAGGAGCGCAACTCAACAATATTGGCAATATCATTTTAAAGTCGTCTAATTTAAAATGCATAATTTATGTCTGAATTGTCAATATAAATGAGTCAGATAAAATTAAATTATTAGAAGAATTTTTCACTATATAACAAAAAACAAAATTTGTTTAATTTACTGTTTGTATTTCGAGAACAATTTCCGAAGTGGAAATTGAAACATCAATAAACATATTTTTATCTTTAATTGTGGCTTATTCCCAGTTTAATAGTAATTAATTCCACTGGAAAATAATGAAAAATTTTTGCAGTTATTGCAGTAAAATTGCAGTTATAAACATTTAGAGCTGCAGCGCACCCCTATGTTTCCTACAAATTTTTAATTTGCAGATTATTATAGCTGGCTTCGAGAGGAAGATTAAAAAAAAGAGTTTTCTACGACCGATAGGAGCAGAGTTAGTATATTTTTTTGTTAAATCACAGAGGCTTTATTAATAACAATTAAGAAACGAATCTGGCGATGCTCGGAAAAATTTGCAATATCTCGGTGACAAATGAACCGATTTCTGCATGTTTGCAGTTTTTTAACTTAAGGCTGTTTTAGCAGTTAAACCACACTGCGTATGGCACACCGATACGCACATTTGAAATGGGCGTATCACTTCCTTTTCTACACTGCGCAGTGGCGCCGGCCGACGGGTAGTTTAATGACAACTAATGCATTATTCTCCATTCAAATTGTTTTAAACACGAACTAACTGACAGTACGTTCATGAGATTTGACGTCACGAAGGCGATAACGATGAAACTAAGCGTCAATGATAAGTAACACGATTCACTATTAGATTTTAGTATTTTTTAGCAATTTTCTTCAAAGTTGTAACACGCTCTTCTTGATTATTACTAGACACAGAAAAGTGGAAAAAAAATATCAAAGATTACGGAAGAAAAAACTCTTTCAAGTGATGGGCGTAAAAAGTTTGTTATAATAGAACGTTAAACAGTATAATCCAATTTTTCAACAGAAGTTTCAAAAAAATAAAAAAAAAGTAAAACCATCATTTTAAAGGCAACATAACTTCGAATAACGTGTCCAAATTTCGAGACATTTTGTCGGTAAATAACAGAGAAAACCCTATCCCTAGGTTTTGTGCACCGATAAAACAGCCTTAAATGAATGTATACCTGAGATACACCTCGACCTAATCAGTACACTTCATGACCGCGACCTCCGAAACCTTTGCCCGCGACCTTTGTTTATAAAAAAAAAAATTGCCAGACAACGATTCTTGACGTATATGGAAAGATTGGAGCGTTTTAACTAATATTTTGAATCTAGTGAAAATAAGCTAAAAATTCGCTCAAACAGATAGAAAACTAAATTGATTTTCATGAAAATGTTGAAATACAAGAATATTATTTTCTATGAGAAACATTCGTGTTTTAATATATTACTTTATATCTTAAAACTAGCTTCCCTCGCATTAAATGAAAATTTATTAACTCGGTCCAACGATTAGAAGTCGTCCTTTGCTTAAAGAATCACAAATTAAATGTTAAAGTGGTGTACTTTTTTTAAATCGTGATATTCGATAGCCATACACCTATCGATAAACAGACACAGTGATTGATTATGATTGATAGTCCTGCTTTGAAAAACAATCTGTGGTGTCGAATTTATGACCAGATGGTTGAGGATCTCACAGTCAAATATCAATAAATATACTACATAATATATAAATTGATTTTTTCATGCTCTTCGAAACAGGGTTAGATACTCTGAACGATATATATATATATATATATATATAATATATATATATATATATATATATAATATATATATATATATATATAAAATTTTCTTGGGTATATGTCAGGTTCTATCGGTCTGGAATTAAAACAATTCTATTTTCTAGTCACTTAATATTTCGCCAACTAATTGTTGGATTCATCAGAAGTGGATCACAAATGTATTAAAACAAAGAGATGGGCAACATTAAGATAACATTACATAAATATTTACTTACAGAGGTAGAACTGGTCACAAAAAAAAGACAAGACAAACATTTGTTTTACACTTTCACAATTAGATTGACAATTGCTAAAATAAGTTAATATACACATAAAACGACAAAAAGTGTATAGTGGAATAGACAAATTGAATTGCAGAATATTGATGTAGATGCTGCTTAGCTGATTCGTATCTGCTTTGTAATTTATTACATTTTTGTAGGATTTCAACATTGGTATAGTCAAATTTGTGACCTGTGTTGATGGAGTGTTCGACAACAGCGCATGTGTTTTTACCTTTAGGCAGTCACTTTTGTGTTGGGTAATACGTTGTTTTAACCATTGGCTTGTCTGTCCAATATAGCAACCTTCGCAGCCTAAACACGGTATTTTATAGATTGTATTGGTAGTATACATTACTGGTGTCTTATCTTTGGCACGAGAAAATAGCCTTTTCTTACTAATACCGCTGTATCTACCAATTCTGATGTTATTGTATGGTTTGAAGAGGGCTGTGATCTTATTTGTTAGATTATCAACAAAGGTCAATCTTTTATATGTAAAGTTTTGTGAAGCATCTTTATCCAACGGTCCATCATAATTGTGGGAATTGTAAATTAATTGTTTAAGGAGTGTCTTCGGATAACCGTTGTTAATTAGCGAGCAAGTAATTTGCTCTGACTATTACGTAGAAACTGGTAGTCGCATATATTGAGTATTCTATTTTTTCATAGCAAGAACCTGTACTGTATTTCTGGTTTTTTGGGTGGTTAGAAAAAAAGTCTAGAAATCTGCCTGATGCAGTAGGTTTTTGGTACCAATCTAGTATATATGAATGTCTTCCGTGCGGACTACTTTAGTGTCCAAGAAAGGTACACTATTGTTAGTTTCTCTTTCAACAGTAAATTGTATTTTGTCATTAAAAGAGTTAAACGTATTTAAGATGGTGTCGACCTGATCGTTTGGTACCGCACAGATAATGCCATCGACAAATTTGTATAAGAATGAAAATAAAAACGAAACTAAATATAAGAGGCACTTAAAACAGTCATGGAGGTATTATAAATGGTGCAATAAATAATAATGATTAATCAACTGTTATTAATTAACTCAACAATTATTATTAACTCTTAAATATTTTCTATTTTATTTATTAACTATTAATAATAAATATGATTAATTATTAATGATTACTAACAAAACATTTGGTTACTTACTTCGAGGTATAAATCAAAATTTCTGCACTAAAAACTGACATTAACGGAAACAACCACTTTCGATTTTTAGGTTATGTTGTTTTAACGTGCAATGCTGAATAATATGCCCTATCTGTTACTCAGGGCTTGCTAGATTTTTGCAACATTATATATTGCAATACTGACTATCTTATCTGTTAAAATAGGACACTTCAGGTTTGTACAGATCAGATAGGACGTAATGCTTAGAAATCAGGTTTTAGTTTGAACTTAGGACAACAAGCATCACTTCGGAACAACTATTTAATAACAGATAGGACAGCTCAGCTTTGAAGGGAAGATAAATAATGCTTTTCGCTATCACCCAGTACCTTTCAGGTTAGCAG